TTTCCAATCCTGTGGCCACTGTTGAGTTTTCCAAATTTGCTGGCAAATTGAGTGTAGCACTTTTACTGCATCGTCTTTTAAGATTTTGAATAGCTCAGCTGGAATACTATCACCTCCACTAGCTTTGTTGTTGCTCAGATTTTCTAAGGCCCATTTCACTTCACATTCTAGGAGGTCTGGTTCGAGGTCAGTGACCATCTCATTGTGGTTATCTGGGATGTTAAGCTCATTCTTGTATAGTTCTTCTGTGTAGTTTTGCCATCTCTTCTTAATCTCGTTCTGCCTCTGTTAGGTCTCTGCCATTTTGGTCCTTTATCATGCCCATCTTTGCATGAAACGTTCCCTTCATATCTCCAATTTTCTTGAAGAGATCTCTGGTCCTCCCTATTCTGTTGTTTTCTTCTATTTCTTTGCACTGTTCATTTAAGAAGGCATTCTTATCTCTTCTAGCTACTCTCTGGAATTCTGCATTCAATTGGGTGTATCTTTCTCTTTCTCCTTTGCCTTTCGCTTCCCTTCTTTCCTCAGCTATTTGCAAAGCTTCCTCAGACAGCCATTTTGCTTTCTTGCATTTCTTTTTCTTTGGGATGGTTTTAGTTGCTACCTCTTGTACAATGTTGCGAACTTCCATCCATAGTTCTTCAGGCACTCTGTCTATCAGATCTAATTCCTTAAATCTATTTGTCACCTCTACTATATATTCATCAGGAATATGATTTAGTTCATACCTGAGTGGCCTAGTGCTTTTCCCTACTTTTTTCAATTTAAGCCTAAATTTTGCAACGAGAAGCTCATGATCTGAGCCACAGTCAGCTCCTGGTCTTGTTTTTACTGACTGTATAGAGCTTCTCCATCTTTGGCTGCAGAGCACATAGTCAATCTGATTTCTGTGTTGACCATCTGGTGATGTCCATGTGTAGAGCTGTCTCTTGGGTTGTTGGAAAAGAGTGTTTGTTATGACCATCGTATTCTCTTGACAAAATTCTATTAGCCTGTGCCCTGCTTCATTTTGTACTCCAAGGCCAAACTTGCCTGTTATTCCGGTTATCTTTTGGCTTCCTACCTTAGCATTCCAATCCCCCATGATGATAAGGACATCATTTTTTGGTGTTAATTCTATAAGGCGCTGTAGGGCTTCATAGAACTGGTCAATTTCATCCTCTTCAGCACCAGTGGTTGGGGCATAGATTTGGACTATTGTGATATTGAATGGTTTGCCTTGGATTTGAATTGAGATCATTCTGTCATTTGGGGGATTGTATCCCAGTATTGCTTTTCCTATTCTTTTATTGACTATGAAGGCTACTCCATTTCTTCTGAGGGATTCTTGTCCACAGTAATAAACCTGATGGTCATCTGAGTTAAATTCACCCATTCCTGTCCATTTTAGTTCGCTGGTTCCTAAGATGTCGATGTTCAGTCTTGTCATCTCTTTTTTGACTACGTCTAGCTTGCCTTGATTCATGGATCTTACATTCCAGATTCCTATGGAGAAAAAATCTTTACAGCATCGGACTTTCCTTTCACCACCAGATATATCCACAGCTGAGCGTCCTTTCGGTTTTGGCCCAGTTGCTTCATTCTTTCTGGCACTACTAGTACTAGCCCTCTGCTCTACCCCAGTAGCATATTGGATACCTTCCGACCTGAGGGGCTCATCTTCCAGCGTCATATCTTTTTGCCTTTTAGTACTGTCCATGCGGTTTTCATGGCAAAGATACTGGAGTGGTTTGCCATTTCCTTCTCCAGTGGATCACATTTTGTCAGAACTCTCTGCTATAAACTGTCTGTCTTGGGTGGCCCTGCACGGCATAGCTTATAGCTTCATTGAGTTACGCAAGCCCCTTTGCCACGACAAGGCAGTAATCCATAAAGGGGGAATGTGTTCTATCACTTGCTTTATCTATGGTAATGTTCTCAAAGAATGGGACAGATGTCATTAATGTGGTATATGTGGTGCTTTGTCACTGGACCCCTTTTAACAAGATAGAAGCCTTTCCATTCATTGTGTTAAATAGCTTATATTTACAGGGGAAACTTTATAGCTGCCTGTATGGGTGATAACAGAAATTATTACACCAGGGTCAGCCATTTCACTGCTGCTCATTTCTTAGTTGCTAATCCCATGTTCTGGGTTAAGCAAGTACCACGTGAAAAATTTACATGGGTACATGGTCTTGATTTCAACATTTTTGAATAGCCTCATATGTTGCCTCCTCTTATCATAGGCAGCCAGTGAACACATAAAGATCTGATCTTGAAAAGGGCATCAGATATCACACGGGCTCACACATTGTGTTAGATTATTGTGTCTTTCTTTGCAGGCTAGCTGTTGAGCAGGCTAAGCCAACAACTCTTTTACGAAGAGGAGAGTCATGGTTTAAACAGTTGAGTGAAAATATCACTCAAAACTCAGCTATGCCTGGCTGAGGAATTCTGGGAGTTGAGGTCCATAAGTCATAAAAGGGCCAGGTTTGAAGATCCCAGCTATATATCTTTCTAGCAGAAAAAAAGTCTTTGGGTGCTATGTCTGGTGTAGTGTATTTTCTATATACTCTTAAAGGCAGTATCTACTAGGGAATCAGAGGCATATGTGTTGTGATGGCACTATACAAATGAAATACATGCATGGTGCTGTAAGGTCCCAGTCCCTTACTTAAACTTGAGATACCATATTAATCTAATTAGATAACCCAAGAGGAGACTTCTTGATTAAGCAGCATTTTATTTGATCAAATTAAGCAGCTGGGTGGCCAACAATCTGGAAGGCTGGCAGAGTCACATCCAGAAGTGCCACATATTAGAAAGTTGGTAGAATTGCTTTACCAACTTTGTTAGCCAATGAAAATCAGACAACACAGCCATTCCATCACAAGAAAGACATCAATCATTCCTAAACAGTGCCTTATTCCCTCCTTCAGTGTATCACATCCATGTACACATTTCCCAAGCTTGCATGAAATTTCTCTGGTGCTAAAGCTGATTACAAAAAGCAAAAAGCAACAGTTAGACTAAACAATTTCACTTTGTTCCAGAACCCTTCACATCCTTATGTAACTTGGCTCTAGATCATGCAGCCTGAACAGTGGTGGGATTCAAATATGTGAACAACCAGTTCTCTGCATGGATGCCACTTCCGGAAGTCCATTCTGGGCCTGGGCAACAAAAAATTAGCTACAGGTTCTGCCGAAGTGGTGCGAACCAGCTGAATCCCACCACTGAGCCTGAAGCACGAAAGAACACTGATAACAAGACTGGATATGTATCTCAATGGAAGCAGATCCTTCCAGAAAGTAAAAAACCCTAATATGTGATTAATGCAGTCTATGGTGCAGAATTCACTTCAGCTTTAGGACAGAAGGAAAACAGATTTTTTTTCTTTTAACTGGAAATATTTTTAAACCTAAAAAAGCCAGGGAGCTAGACCATATAAAACAACCACACACTCAGTTGACCCATTTGTTTAGCTGGTGTGGAGAAACAACTGTTTCCATATTATGAATAGTGGGGGCAACTGATACTAACTTAAGTCCAACAATTTTCAGGGTTGTGAGACTGGTTTGAAAACTCCACCTTTTCCATTCTAGGATCTAGTTTTGGAAAACGAGATCAGGAAAGCTGGCTATGCATAGCATTGGATGGATGCTCTCCACAATTGTAATTTGTTTGAATTTGACTTGTTTAAAATTAGCCTTAAACTTTAAATTTCATCCTCTCCAGAAACCTGGACTTCAACTCCTAGAATTTCCCAGTCAAGATGGTAATTGTGGAAGCTGAAGTCTGTACAACTGGGGGGGGAGGGTATCCAGCTATGCTACCAGACTGGCTCAGGAATTCTGGGATTTGAAGTCCACAAGTCATAAGGGGAGCCATAATTCCCTACCTCCGCTCTAGAAGCAGCTGGGCTTTTGGGGTTCGGACCCAACAGGAAAATGAGGGGCAGAGCTAGAACTGCACCTGTTCTTCCGATGCTGCTCTAGCCTCCCCATCGCTGATTCTGGCATCTTGGTGGCCTCTTCTGCAGCTGAAAGTCACTTTGAGGAAGCTGCTGCTTCGTCAGCCTCATTGCGATGAGAAGCCGGGACTCACTCGCAGCTGCCCAGGGAGAGGAACCCGGCTCCTCTGTGCCTTCTTTTTATCCTTGGAGGATGATCCCCAGTGCTCCTGACCCTTGTGAAGAGTGTGGGAAGGCCTTGTCCTCAGGTTGCCTCCACCTCGAAGGGAGGGCACGCCCATCTGGGTCTTTGGGTAGCAGTCTGTGTTCTCCTGGCCATTGGCACATTAGTTTTGGGGATGGGTAGAGATGGGAAAGCCTGTGGGGAAAAAAACCACTGTGTTTGGCACCATACAAATGAAATATATGCATTCTGCTGTAAGGTCCCAATCCCTTAAACTTGAGATACCATATTAATCTAATTACATAACCCAAGAGGAGACTTCTTGATTAAACAGCACTTTATTTGATCAAATTAAGCAGCTGGGTGGCCAACAATCTGGAAGGCTGGCAGAGTCATGTCCAGAAGTGCCACACATTAGAAAGTTGGTAGCATTGCTTTGTAAACTTTGTTAGCCAATAAAAATCAGACAACAGAGCCAAAAAGCAAGAAACCAACAGTTAGACTAAACAATTTCCCTTTGTTCCAACCCTTCACATCCTTATGTAACTTGGCTCTATATCATGCAGCCTGAACAGTGCTGGGATTCAAATATGTGAACAACTGGTTCTCTCTGATGCTGCTTCCGGACATCCATTCTGGGCCTGGGCATCAAAAAATTAGCTACAGTTTCTGCCAAAGTGGTGAGAACCGGCTGAATCCCACCACTGTATTTGGATGTGTTGGAGGGCAAAATGGTGGATACAGGGAGGTTCTTTTTTATTTTGGAGACCCAGGTATTGGACAATACGCAGTCTTGTAGATTCTTCAGGATTATACACGGTTCTGTTTGAAGGGCTCTTCTGGATCTTAGATTAGATGCATTTTGAATTTTTTTTCCTGTTGATTTCTATCGCTGTGAGAAAGCTATGAATGCCAAAGGCTCTGATCCCTATGTCTGTCAGTGGTATAAAAAAGTATACTCATCCCTGTGCCCTTCTTTTTGGGTAAGTAAATTATGTAAGTCTGTCTAAAGTATTTTTGTACAAGAAACCAGTTGGGGGCAAAGGAAGAGACTCAGTAAAAGATCTCTCCCTTTTCAGTGGGTCAGCCATGAAAGGTCAGACCAAAATACTTTGGAGTAAAGCACTAGAATCCCTGGCATATCAATCATGGGTGTTGCAGTTCCATTCCATCTGGGAAACAATTGATTACCAACTCCACACCATCAAAAACCTCCATTTGTTTGAAAAGAATGTGCACCCAAGCAGACTTAATACAGAAGGTAACCTTTCAGCCTAATGACACTATTCCACAAATTTAATAAACCATCATCATCATTAATTGGAGATTGTGTGACAGTCTTGGCCCAGATAGCTTATCTTGTCTTTTCATCATATATTAGCACTTACATGAAGATTAGGAACATTGGCAAGAAGGTTGGGGTACATCAGATTCGGGCATCAGGGTCCTTCCCCCCCCCTTGCTTTTGTCTTGATTTTGCTAAAACAGCTTGAATTTCTAATAGTGGAATTCTCACAAAAGCTGGGGTAGCCTTGAAATGGAATGGGGCAGTAACTATGGTTTGGTGAATGGTGGGAAGCCACTGTTTTATCATGTCAGACACAAGTGAAGCCCTCATACAATTGTTTTCTTTGTGAGAACACAACATCTGTCTTGTAGTCTGAGCATAGGCTGCCGTTGAAGCCAGCTAATGTGTATAAATCTTCAGTACTTAATACTACAGTAAGGGGCACACTGTATCACATGTGGCATGTCATTTTTGTTATTGTTTTCCTGTCTGCAGGCAAGATACCTTTGTACCTTTCATTCCCCCCTCCCCAGGTAATCCTTTTAGGAAAGGTGCTCGTCTATTCTTTAACATGTCATGAAGTCTTAATTAAAGGGACACAACTAGCAAGTTTATGAAAACTTATGCTTTCTTCCCATTATTCAATTCTAATATTTTAGGAGCTGGTTAGAAACTATCACTTTGGTAGATGCAAGTTTCTTTCAAACTGCATCTAGATTGAAGTAATTAATAAGCAAGATGTTTATTTAGTCATCTGTTCAAGGTTCAGATGTTTGTTTATTAATCTGATCATCCTACCAACCACACCCATTTTTATTATTTTGGGTCAAAGCCAGTAAGCAGAACTGCAGAATAAAGTATCTGCTTCCAATTTCTTGACATGTGAGCATTCAGAGGCCTTATGTCATATATATCATTTCTTTTCAGTAGGCTAGAATATATATCTAGAACTGATTTGCTAAAATCTAGCTTGTCTGCTGTAAAGTTTAAGGATGAAACCGTATCTCCAGTCTGTTATCAGAAGGTTTTTTAGAACGGAGAGGCATATTAATGTATTAGATTAAAATAGCTGTTGGTCACTGGTAAGGATATCAAGGCTTTTTTCTATTTAGCAGGAAGGAGTTCCAGACATATTTCTATAGCTGATGTGAGCAGAAAATTTAATTTGTTTCACTGATTGCAGCTAGGAGAATCAGATTGTACCAGGAATCCTTGACAGGCAACTCAGTTGTTAAACTGTTACTAAGTCCAATCACATGCAAGTGATTTTACTTAGCTTTCCTTTGCTTTATAGCTGGGGTGTTAAACTGACAATTATGTGACGTGTGGTGACTTATCATGACTTTTTTCCCCATTGCTGGCAATCAGGCCTGTGGGCTGACAGTTTGACACCCCTGCTTTATAGTGTCCAAAGAATACTATCCCAAACATCTGGGTGAGGACAAAGGGTGGGAAAGGTTTCCAAAACCTGACTTACAAGGAAGCCAAGTAAAAGGGTAGCTCTTGCAGCCCCTTCCCCCATTCCTCTGTCTTTGGAATGCTCACTCCAGCACTGAGATAATTGGAAAAGAATTCATGTTGGTATTTACATTCATTACAGAGGAAGGGATTACAAGAGAATAAGAAGGCATACAATAAAGAGTAGACAATGATTTCTGAGCAGGGTTCTACTTAGAATAAGATATCTAGGGCAATCCTGTATTCATTCTTTGGGAAATAAAATTACCATGGGGAAACCTGATCTTTCTCCTAAGGAAATGTCTTCTAATAGTTGACATTTTGAAGCACCTGATTTCATATTTATTTTCAGAAAATGTCTGAATCCATAAGAAGCAAGATAGAGAACGACAAAACAGCTCCATGTGACAATAGGTTCCCCAATCTAAATTAGACATGGGGCTGCTGGCAGAACTACCTTGGTTAATATAATTGATGCAACTCCTCACCTCTCCAAAGTTTTCTTAGGTGAATCCACTTTTCCTTACCCATCAACTAGCAGTCAGTAGTAGAGAATTACAGCATTTTGCTTTTTTTTTTTTTTTTTTTCCTGAGAACTGTCTTGTGTTTTGGAGAGGTTGATCTCCTGGGCATGCCTTTTTTTTTTTTTTTTAGGAGACTTGACTTAGGTCATAGTCTTGTGGAAAATGCAAGGAACTTTTACGAATTCCAGAGGGTTTAGCAGAGAGATTTATTGTGCAGGTTCAGAAGCAATGAAGACTAGCAATTCTAAACATGGAGGGCGGGTTCAGACTACAGTTTTATACTTTCCTTTTCTCAGGAACAAAGGAACACACATAGAAATCTACATTGTAATACATTAGGTTAGTTTCTCACAGGCATACAATGGACAGTTTTGCTACATACATTGTTTCCAAGTGTAATGCGCATTTGGGTAGTCACATATTGCTAATACAGCATTACTTCAGTAATTATGCAGACACATCATTTTTAGTGATTTTTCATTATTATTATTATGCAACATTAATAGCTGAAATCTCTTGAGCATCATTTGAATGCTGTTTCAGAACCTTTCAGTTGGAGAAGCATCTCAATGTAGAGGTTGTTAAGTAATGCTGGGCTCCTGCCTAATGCTTATCACTTTCCCCTTATCAATTTATCTGCTGTTGTTATGGAATTGCCATTGCTAGCAAAACTTCCACATTGAAACTCCACATGGGTGTGCATATTTTCCTGGCCTGTTTCAGGTGTGCTTTGGCTAGATCCCCTAGGAGATTTGCCGTGGGACCCAGGAAGACCCATTCAGGAAACCAGCACTGGCATTTTTAGCAGCAGCCACACCATGAAATATCCATCTAGGAATCTCTTCTTAGAGATTCCAAAAAAGATTGGTTATTTGCTAGAAAACAAATAATGTTCTAATTGGCAGACCAACCTCTCTTTCTTGAGGTTTGTGTAATGTGATTGTCAATGGCTTAGCCTTAGAATTTAAAGCAGCCATTCTGATGTACAAATCAGAACTCACCTGATGGGCCAGCTGTGGATTGCATATCACACACCCTTTGAACACAGCAGACTGTTTTCTCTTTAGCAGCAGATTGGAGGATATTGGTAGAAAACAAATTTGTAGCTGGCTTCCCCCCCCCTCTTTTCTTCTGATGTCATAAATATTGCACCAGAACTCCTGTTGGTAGAGAACTCTGTTTTTGAACCTCTTTGGAGTCCTAACTTAGTGTTATTCTTGCCTTGTAAGAAATGACCATATTTTTAGCCATGCTTTTATTTGCATAAAAAATGGAAGTATTTTTGGATGGGTGCAAGGAAGAAAGAGACTTTCTTACACATTGACTGAAAATATCATCTATTCATATTCTTAAGAGTTTCTTTTCCATTTTTTCCATATTAGTCTTACTACATTCAAAGAAATGTATTCTTTTTAACCATAATTAAAAATATGTTTAATCTTTAAATATTCCATTTAATACGTCTAATCATTTAGTCCTTTAACTGTTATTCAAAACATTTTTTATCCATGATAATTTTCTTAAATTCAATTTCAATTAAATATCTAAAATGGGGGAGGAAAGCATACTATATTATTTATGGGATTCATGCCTCTTAGAGTAACATATATATTCCAAATCTTTTCTATTTCTTTAACCATATTCAAACAAATGTTTCTTTTTTAAGTATTCTCTCTGGTAGGTCCCATCATCATTTTTCCAATTATTGTGATATTTTTCTCACTAGGATTAAATCATGTTTACTTGTTTTATTAAGTTCCATCTTTAAGTCTCTATTCTCAATTTTGTATCCATTTATCTGTTTTATCTGCTCCTTCTCTGTTCTTGTTTTCTGGGATTTTTTTGTTGTAGAGTTAACTTGGAAATAGATTGATTTATAGTGTATTTTCAAAATTATTTGGGATTTCTTTGTGATTTAAAATCATTGTTGTTTGAATTATTTGCAGTATACTATATATCTACACCTATGGAGTATTTATGTTTTCTTAATATGTTCTTTCTACATGTCTCTGATCCATGATGGCCAAGAATTTGAGCTTTTCTCTTCTTTTCTTTTCTCTGCAAACAGCTTTAGAGTCCCGATTAAATAGATACAGTATTTGTAATCCAAATAGTTCAAAAAAGATTTTTTTCCTGAAATTTATAATTCACTTTGTTTACAGCCCAGATTATTGTCTTTCCTTTTTGTCACAGCTTTGAAGGTCAGAAACACAGACTAGCTTTTCCCAGGTTTTTCCAAGTCTTATATTAAAGTCACAGCTCTCATAGTCTTCATCCACCACTACGTGTCAGCATCTATTTATTTTTCAATTTTCAAAATCTTTAGAATGAGAGTCTTAACCATTCAACAATTTTAGATTTATTCAGATTTTAGTTTTAAATTTCAGATTTTATATTTGTTTCACTTCCATATATTTTGATCCTCCATAAAAAGATTAATTCGCCACTTCCCTTAGTATAAGGGTGGGGTGGAAATCCCCCTCCTTTCCTTTCGGAGGTATTTTGCTTCTTGGGGATCTTTTCCAGGAAATTAAATATAGAATAGAAAAGAGAAGATCAAATTCCTCACTCAGTTTCAAGCACGCAAAACCGGAAATCCATGTCAGACTTTTTAGAGCTTTTAACCCCAGTTGTTCAAATGCTGCCATTTAACAGGCCATTTATTTGCAAAACCAAAGGATCAAAAAAGAAGCGATGATTTATATGATTTTAC